TATAATTTGTTATGTGTTTTAGATTATATATTATTTTTTATAATAAATAATATAATAATATTTCATTTTATTTTACATTATTCTGTTTTATAGTTTTTTTTTAGACAGTGTTGCCTAATACCAAGCTGTATAGTATTAACAACAACTGTAGCTCATATGGTAATTTGGCGGAAACCGTGGTTTCCATGGTTACCCCAGTTTTCTAAGAGGTGTTTGAAAAGCAACTTCTTTTATCTCTCAGGACTATCAGGAAGAGGTGGCGGTGGTTCAGGAGAATAAACACGAGCTCCAGCAGCTGGGTGAACGTTTAGCTCGGGCCAGTCATGAGAGCAAAGCCTCTGACATCGAACACAAACTCAGTAAAGTCAACGAACGCTGGCAGCACCTGCTCGACCTCATTGGGGCCAGGTACTGTTACACACACTGCGCAGTGTGGTTGACATTATCAGCACTAATTTACATAATACAGTATTTGCTCAAAATTCATTTAAAATGATTGAGGTTTGAATCTGCCTTGTGTTGAGATTACATTACCTCTCCCTACTTCATGAGTCTCTCAATTGTAAAAATGTAATACCTACTTCATGAGATCTGTGTTTATTCAGGGTGAAGAAGCTGCGGGAGACTTTAGTGGCCGTTCAGCAGTTGGATAAGAACATGAATAGTCTGCGCTCTTGGCTCGCCCACATCGAGACCGAACTGTCCCGTCCCATCGTCTACGACACCTGCGACTACCAGGAGATCCAGAGGAAACTAGATCTACAGCAGGTACATATATACACACTGCGTTCAAAAAGCATTTTGTTTGTTTCATTCAGATAAAACATTCTTTTTGTTCTTGGTTCAGGAGCTGCAGAGAGACATCGAGAAGCACAGCACAGGTGTGGCGTCAGTGCTGAACCTGTGTGAGGTTTTGCTGCACGACTGTGACGCGTGCGCTACGGACGCCGAGTGTGACTCCATCCAACAGGCCACACGCAGCCTGGACCGCCGCTGGAGGAGCATCTGTGCCATGTCCATGGAGAGGAGACTCAGGTATGACCCGTGATACGCACTATTACTATATAATACCTATTTTATTGTGTGTTCAGTAACCAGTCATTTTGCTTTTTTGTGTAAAATGTGTATCTTGTAATATAGTTAACCTGAAAACTAGTCTGATTTTCACTCTCAAACTGGAAGGTCAAGTTGAGTGAATAGCATTGTGGGATACAGTGTGCTGACTTGTATACTGCACATTTTGACAAGTGCACCAGGTCATCCTGGGGATTTTATCTACTCGTGCTTAAAATATGCATACTGTGCACAGGATACATATTTCATACTGTAGAATATAGTATGAGTAGTATGGAAATATAACTTTCTGAAAGTTGGTGTTTATAGTTTTTATAGTATCATTTTTATTTAAATTTTAGTTCTAGTTTGTCATTTTGCTATGTGCTTTTGTAATTTTTTTGTATTTATATTTAGCTTTGACTTATTTTAATATCAGTTTTAGTTTTAGTAATTTTACTACTTCGACTTCAACTTTTTTATTTCAGTAAGATACCAAAGCAACATTTCTATTTTATTTTATTTTATTTTATTTTATTTTATTTTATTTTATTTTATTTTATTTTATTTTATTTTATTTTATTTTATTTTATTTATTTTATTATTTTATTTTATTTTATTTTATTATTTTATTTTATTTTATTTTATTTTATCTATTTCAGCTTTATTGCAGTTTCATTTTCAATTAATTCATTAATTTTTAATTTTTAAAGTTTTAGTTTAAGTTAATTATAACAATGTTAAATATACCTTTGTGATGTGCATGTGCTAAATGACAAATTTATACCTAAATTTTGCTCATTATTTAATTTTTAAATTAAATTTTATATGTTATTTTATCTGTTTAAGCTTTATTGCAGCTTTATTTCTGTTTATGAAATTTTTTTTTTATAGTTATAGTCATACTTTTTTGTTAACGATAGATGTGCTAAATGACAAATTTAAACCTAAACTTTGCTCATTTGAAAGGATTGAGGAGACGTGGCGTCTCTGGCAGAAGTTTCTCGATGACTTCTCACATTTTGAGGAGTGGCTCATGTTGTCGGAGAAGACAGCCGCGCTGCCAAACTCTTCAGGTGTCCTTTACACTGTTGCCAAAGAGGAGCTCAAGAAATTTGAGGTGAGATTCATCCAGATTGAATGAATGTAGTATTGATGAACAGATTTATGATATTAACACTCTTGTGTTTTTTTTAGACGTTCCAGCGGCAGGTGCATGAAAGTTTGACGCAGCTGGAGCTGATCAATAAACAGTATCAGCGACTGGCACGTGAGAATCGCACTGACGCGGCCTGTAGTCTGCGAGAAATGGCCCACAATGCCAACCAGCGCTGGGATAACCTGCAGAGACGAGTGTCCTCCGTCCTACGCAGGTTAAAGGTACAGAGCTGATCAATTAGTTCTACACCAACATTCATACTAATTTGATAATTAGGCTGTCATCACTTTGATGCATATTATAATAATACCAATCTATGAAAATAACTTTGCATCTTTGCTTTTTAAGTGATCATTAAAACAAGATTAAGTTGAGGTTAAATCAAATATATCAAATGCATAACAGTATCCAGCACTAAATGTAACCATTTTTTGAACCTAAAATATAGTTTAACTTTTAAATGTTGTATTTAAAATATAGAACAGCTAAAGAGAAATAAATAAATACATTTTAAATCATTCACACATGAGCAAAAACTGTTTGTGCAAAATAAATTCATGCTAAACTTTCCTAAAAATGTATATTTAGATGGTATAATCAAATTTGTATTTAAAATGTAAGTATAAATAAACAATATAACTTTTAAATATTGTACTAGTAATTACAATAATTATAATTAAATATACATCTAATATAATGAATCATAAAAGTATTATTAGTTTATATATATATATGTATATATATATATAATCCAGGATTATATTTTTGTAAATTAACTTTTCAGTCTTTTAACTTTTTTGGGTAAATCAGCAATTGCAAAACAAATATATAAATAAATAAATATATATATATGTATATATAAATTATTTTATTATTATTAATTAGATAAATGCAAGTGGGCTTTTACTTTGAATCTGATTTTTGAAAAAATGTTCTGTCCACTGCAGCACTTTATAAGTCAGAGGGAGGAGTTTGAGACGGCGCGAGACTGTATCCTGGTCTGGCTGACAGAGATGGACCTGCAATTAACCAACATTGAACATTTCTCAGAGTGTGACGTCCAGGCCAAAATCAAACAGCTGAGGGTGCGTCTCTGGCCTTTATCACTGCATGTGTTCTCCATATCTCCTGTGTCATTCTCTGATGGAGGTTCTCTTCTGCGTCCAGGCGTTCCAGCAGGAGATCACTCTGAACACTGCAAAGATTGACCACATATTCCAGCAGGGTGAAGCTCTTCTGGAAAAGAGTGAGCCGATAGATGCTGCTGTGATCGAGGAAGAGCTTGAAGAACTGCAGCGTTACTGCCAGGAAGTGTTTGGACGTGTGGAGCGCTACTACAAGAAACTTATACGATTACCGGTACTTTAAATACAGCAGATGCTTTTTCTGACTGACATTGGAGTTCTATTGCATTCTTTTTCTATTTATTTCATTTTTAGACTTATTTATATGTACCTTATTCATTCGTTCGTTCATTTATTTATATGTACCTTTTTATTTATGACTACCTTTATTTATATATTTATTAATTATATAATTATTAATTAACACATAATTATTTTATTTTTTCATATTTGTTTATATGTATCTTTTTATTTATATTTACCTTTGTGTATGTTTACATTATTCATTCATTCATTCATTATTTTATTTTATTTAATAATTAATATTTATTTATATATACTATTTGTATTTATATTTACCTTTTATTTATGTTTACTTTCTCTCTTTCTTTCTTTCTTTCTTTATTCATTCCTTCATTCCTTCACTTTATTTTTATTTTATTTTAATATTTATTTATATATACTATTTGTATTTATATTTACCTTTTATTTATGTTTACTTTCTCTCTTTCTTTCTTTCTTTCTTTCTTTATTTATTCATTCCTTCATTCATTCATTCATTCACTTTATTTTTATTTTATTTTAATATTTATTTATATATACCATTTTTATTTATATTTACCTTTTATTTATGTTTACTTTATTCATTCATTCATTTTATTTTATTTTCATATTTATATGTACCATTTTTTTATTTGTTTACTTTTTATTTATTCATTCATTAATTCAGTCGGTCATTTTATATGCATATATTTTGTTTAGCCTTTTTTTGCCGTTTTATTTCATCCACTTTAATTAATTTAGTCAAGGTTTCGATCCCAAAAACCACTGAGAATTCGTAACTTCTTTATCCAGCTCACAGACGATGAACATGACGTGTCGTACTCGGACCGTGAGTTTGATTTGGACGAGCCTGCTGACGTGTCCAGCTTTCCGTGGAGTGAGCGTCTGGGCGATGGTTTTCTGTCCCCTCTGCCCTCCTCCAGTCGCTCTGCGTCGCTGGCCGTTCCTCTACGGGCCGAACGCTCGGGCCGAGACACTCCAGCCAGCGTGGACTCCATCCCTCTGGAGTGGGACCACGATTACGACCTGAGCCGGGGTCTGGAGAGCACCAGCAGAGCCTTGTCCTCTGAACCAGGAGATCAGGGAGAAGATGGATACCTGCAGAGCTCAGCGTCCGCCCTCTCAGGTCAGTAAAGGATCTTTAGTCCTATAAACAAATGAGAGAGAATAAGGGGGTATAAATGAAACCAATGAAGGCCTGAAACTGGTGGTTTAGTGTGGTTCCACATTCAAACATGTTTGTATTGTATGCGTGTATATGTTTCTTTCAGATGTAGTGATTCCAGAGAGTCCTGAGGCATATCTCAAACTTACTGAGCAAACTCTGAGGTCCAGCGCTGGTAGGCATCAGCAGTCTGAAATCTGAGACTCACTCACTAGTCTGTTGCCTGAGATAGTGATCTTTAGTTTCTACTCACAAACCGAATCAAAGCACAGAGCCGCGTGCTGCGACCATCGGCTGTATTTCCTAACCCTTCTCTTTTGATTTGTGTTGCTTCACACAGTGTGTTAACTATAATAATCAGTTCTCCAGTGTTTGCATGTAGTGTCACAGGTTGATGGCCACTGAGTTCACTCTGGTGTTTGTTCTTGGTTTCTAATGCTTTTGGATTTGCCAAATCAACAGCATTACTCACAGTATTTTACAATCAGAGAAAATTGTGAATTACAAAAAAATTTGAATAAATTATTACATTACAAAAAATCAAATCCTTTTAAATCAAGTGGTTCAACAATGAAATATTAGTGGTCAACATTTTTTTTTTTTACTGTGCCAATATCTAGAGGTAACAAGGGTCTAAAGGGAGAATTTCACATATCAAGATCAAATTATACATGTTATACAAACGTATTTTACATGACGAAAATTAAGCCTATTTTTGGACCAATTAAAATGTTTTGCATTTTTAAATTATAAAGCATTTCTTCCCCAAAATTCTCATTACTGTTAAACATATGAATATTTTTTATAATTAGATTCACGTTGCTGTAGTACAGTTTTTTTTTTTTGCTGTAATAGCGTAAAAGATAGTAATATAAGGATTTTTTTAATCTGTTATTTTATTATTATTTATACTATTACTATTATAGTATTTATTAATATTCTGAACTAGAATCTTTTTTATTTTCAATTTTCATTCTAATAATGGCGTGTTAGAACGAGCCGTTTTAGGGGGGCGTGGCAGAGTCTTAACTTTGATAAAGAATATCTCTTTGGTTTTGAGACTTTAGTCTTTGCAACTTCAGGGATCTTATCTATGCACAATCAGCTTGTAACACTGCAAAGAGAAAGGAAAACTTGAAATCGCATCATATGACCCCTTTAAACACTTGTTTGCTATATTTAATTCTCTCAGATGCGTCTTCTTGAAGAATGTCGTGGCAGTATAGACGCAGTAAAGCGAGTGGGATTTGAGCTGAAAGAAGAGGACGACAAGGTATCAGGTTTCGTCAACCCCAACAGCTCAGAGTCCCAAACTTCAGGTATAAAACCATATCATATACTTATTATCAAGTTATATTTTGTATAAGAAAAACACTTTTCTTTAGATTAGCATGCATTGAATAATAATAGGAATATTTATTAAGAAACTAACAAATGATGGATTTTGATTTCCTTTTGTCTGATGCATCATTTGATGTTATAATGTTTGTTATTTTTATTAACTGAAGTTACTATACAGGGTAACCTCATGAAGAGCTTGTCATCTGTGTTGTGCAGGTGTGATCGAGCGCTGGGAGCTGCTGCAGGCTCAGGCTCTCAGTAAAGAGATGCGCATGAAGCAGAACATGCAGCAGTGGCAGCAGTTCAACTCAGACCTGAACAGCATCTGCAGCTGGCTGGACCAGGCAGAAGAAGAGCTGGAGCAGCAGCGGGGACTGGACCTCAGCACGGACATACAGACCATCGAGCTACGCATCAAGAAGCTCAAGGTCAGACACGCCAGCGCTGTTATTGATAACTACAACTATTATTTTAAAACGGTAACGGTAATTGCTGAAATAAAGCTGAAATAAAATACAATATAAAATGAAAAATTAAGTTTAAATTAAAATTAAATTACTGAAACTAAAATTACTCAAAATAAAACTGAAAAAAATTGTATAGAAATATTAAATTGTAATGATATATATTATATAATAATAAAAAAAAAACAATGAAATAACTAAAACTTAAATAAAATCTTCTGTTTTCTTGTTTGTTGGTTATCCAACATAAACTTCAGAAACTTAAACTAAAACTATTAAAAATAATTTTCAATAATTTACATCAAAATATTACATGAAAAACCTAAAATTAAAAGACTTTTACGTTGGCATCTGACTAAAATGAATAAGTAGAAGTACTAAACTTACTAAAACTAAATAGAAATAAATATTAATTAAAGCTATGTAGATATATATATATATATATAAACTAATAATAATTGCACAAACACATAAGATTACTAAAACCTAAACTAAAATGAAAACTGAAAATATAAAATAGAAGCTAATTAAAAATGTTAATAAATAAATACTGTAATCGTATGTAAATAGTACTAACAGTAATGCCATGTTATTCTTTGAACCACTGTTATTGTTTGTAAGGGTTAGCGTTTTCTTACAAAACTAAACAAAACTGTCTAAAACTATTAAAAATCATTTTCAGTCATTGAAATAAAGCTGAAATTAAATATAAGTATTAGATGAAACTTAAAATAATAATAAAAAAATGAAACTTAAAATTATAAAATGTAATTAAAATTTTTAATAAATACTGTCATAGTATATAAATAATACTAAAATAACACTAATGCCATCATATTCTTTGAAGCACTGTTATCGTTTGTAAGGGTTAGCATTTTATTTGTTTTAGTGTTAATTGGTTTTCCAGCTCGTTTATTATTGTATTTTGGCATTGATGCTTTTCTCTGTTGACCTGTGACTCCACGCAGGAGCTGCAGAAGGCTCTGGATAAGCGTAAGGCCATCGTGCTGTCCATTAACCTCTGCAGCGCTGAGTTTGTGCAGTCGGACAGCGAGGAGGCGCGAGACCTGCAGCGACGGCTGAAGGAGATGAATAACCGCTGGGAGCGTCTCAGCAGCTCTCTGGACGAGTGGAGGAACGCGCTCCAGCACGCGCTCATGCAGTGCCAGGCAAGAAACACCTTACCAACAACTGATGCTGAAGCTGCTATCAGAAGATACACATTCATAAATTCTGCTTTCATGAATGTTTAAGGGTTAAAATCTCAGATCTTTTCCTTATCTTCAGGACTTCCATGAGATGAGTCACGGTCTCCTTCTGTGGCTGGAGAACATCGATCGCAGGAGGAATGAGATCGTCCCGATTGACCACACTCAGGACAGCGATACCCTACAGGAGCATCACAAAATGCTTCTGGTAACTGATTTCTCTTTTCTGTTTGTACAGCATTTGGGTTACAACTTGCATAGCTAATGTTGATTAAATATTGATTGTTGGAGGAACGCGCTCCAGCACGCGCTCATGCAGTGCCAGGCAAGAAACACCTTACCAACAACTGATGCTGAAGCTGCTATCAGAAGATACACATTCATAAATTCTGCTTTCATGAATGTTTAAGGGTTAAAATCTCAGATCTTTTCCTTATCTTCAGGACTTCCATGAGATGAGTCACGGTCTCCTTCTGTGGCTGGAGAACATCGATCGCAGGAGGAATGAGATCGTCCCGATTGACCACACTCAGGACAGCGATACCCTACAGGAGCATCACAAAATGCTTCTGGTAACTGATTTCTCTTTTCTGTTTGTACAGCATTTGGGTTACAACTTGCATGGCTAATGTTGATTAAATATTTATTGTTCCGCAGCAAATCCGTCGGGAGCTGCTGGACACGCAGTTGAAGGTGGCGTCCCTGCAGGACATGTCTCTTCAGCTGCTGGTCCACTCGGAGGGCAGTGACTGTCTGGAAGCCAAAGAGAAGGTGCATGTGATCGGGAACCGTCTCAAGCTGTTGCTGAAGGAGGTGACGAGAGACATCAGAGAGCTGCAGAAGACCCTGGACATAAGCAGCAGTCAGCAGGTGAGTTGCTGATCACCAACAGTGTCACAAAAACACTGATTCCCAGAGTTTACTAAAATAATATTAGTGCCTGGAAATGAATGAATTAAATTAAACATTTCTAAATCAGTGGGAGGATAGGCCACAGGATGACTTAAAAAAAATTCATTTATCATTATTGATATAAATAATATTGTTATTATTATTATTATTAATATATTAAAACAAACTTAATTTAAAAAAAAATGGGATCAAAAAATATTAACATTCTTATTTCCCCTAAATTTATTTGGCTTTTATTGTAGAAAATACCATTCTTTAAACTTGAAATGAATTGTGATTATATATTATAGTTCTTCTGATATTATATTATATATTATATTATTCAAATATTGTGATAGAAGCCTTTAAGTCAAAAAGGTTAAAAAACACTTCTAAATGAATATTTGATGTGCAGCAGTGTTATTTTAGAACCATTGCTTTTTTTTGGTTTTGTTTTTATTAATATTTTGAAATAGTTTTTATTTTATATTTTCTGTTTACATTTTATTTTAGTTGAAGTTTTATTAATGTTGTTGTCAGTGTTGGGGAAAGTTACTTTTAAAAGTAATGCATTACAATATTGCATTACTCCCTAAAAAAGTAACTAATTACGTTACTTAGTTACTTTTTATGGAAAGTAATGCGTTACATTACTTTTGTTGTGAACAATATTTGAGAGAAATAGGCCTTTTGTGTACATAGAAAAAGTCTTAGATCTTTGAGTTCAGCTCATGAAAAATGGGGGCAAAAACAAAAGTGTTGCGTTTATAATTTTGTTCAGTGTAGAATGGGATTAAATAAATTTGTGTTATTTAAAATATTTATGTTTTAATTCATTTTGATGAATACTAAGTCTGTTTTTTGCGAGTGGGATGAATTAATGCACATTCACATTTAGTCTAGAACTACAGTAACATCATGTTCACACAGCGCACACAACTCCTCTGCACTTCCGATTTCTCCAATATGGGGACAGGAGACTTGTCAGTCAATAAATGGGAAAACAAAGTAACTGGCGTTACTTTTTTGAAAAATATAGATAGATATTTTCTTGTAAATTAAAAAAGTAATGCGTTACTTTACTAGTTACTTGAAAAAAGTAATCTGATTACGTAACTCGCGTTACTTGTAATGCGTTACCCCCAACACTGGTTGTTGTTTGTTTTTGCCTTTTATGTCTATATAGTTAGTATTTTTATTTAGTTTTAAAGTTATTCAGTTAAAGTTTATTTTATTTCAAGTAACGAAAACGTTTTTTTATGGTTTTAGTTTAAGTTTTAGTTATCTATAATAACCCTGATGTGCAGTCCTAAACTTAATCCCGGTTTTATGTCTTATTTTATGTTTTGTCACACTCTCTTTCTCCAACCCTCCTCATCACACACAATCTCTGTAGGACTTGTCATCTTGGTCGTCTGCTGATGAGTTGGACACTTCCGGTTCCCTGAGCCCCGTGTCTGGACGCAGCACTCCCAGTCGCCAGCGATCGGTAACACATCACCCTCACGTTCTGTTGGGCCCTTCAGAGATTAGTGTTTGCTTGTCACGTTGAGCCGATAGTTTGACACTTGAATGTCCCTGGAACTTGGCCTCCAAAAACACACTTGACACCTTATTAGTATACTTGCTCAGAGTTCCTCCAAAAATCAGGACCTTCCCAGCATGCTCTCCTCTAATGCAAGAGCCAGATCAGAACTGGAGATGTGATTCGTCCCTGTTGTGTTTCTACATCCTATTGATTGATCCAAGTGCGTTTTACATCCTTTAAACAACTAGTCACACCCCTAAATTCTGGCTTGGTTTGTTCCTCCACTCATTTTCCCATATTCATGTTTATTCTAGATTCCCACACTGTAGTCATCAAGGAATACTGGTTCTATGAAAAAAAACAAAACAAAAAACATGTCCAGGCCATATTTAACCTCAAAATTAAAAGAATAAAATGTGAAATTATATTTAGTATGAAGAAAATTAAGCCTTTTTTTTAATAATGATTATAAACGTTATAATGACATTAAAGCACATTTTCCTCTCAAATTATTACCATAATGCATCCAGATGTTTTATTTTATTTCAAAGTTGTAATATTTTTTTTTTCGTCCAGATATTTTGTTTTTATATATTTTTAAGAATTCTCATCAGATTCTCATTACAATAACACAATGGTGCATTAATCAACAATCACTGTGATGTATGTATATTTTTTAATTATTATAATTCAAAAATTATCATTTTAGAGCTTGTCATTCTACTTAATTTTTGTTTGTAATATTTAATAATATATATATATATATATATAAATTAATTAATTTTAAAGCTCATGCTACTTTTTTCCATTATAATGCACATATAATAAGATTTTCCTGCATTATGGCCTTTATGTAATAAACAACGTCCTGGGTAAAATATGACCTATTACATGTTCTTGTTAGATTTTGAGATTCACTCTCAGAAAACAGAAGAAATGTCTGAAATGAGCTTAAAACTTCCTCTGAGCTCTTTAAAAGCTTTTAAATATTAAAGCATCTCTTGTTGCAAGGTGTTTTTTTTCTGAGAAGTGTGTCATGAAGAACCAGTTTCTTTGTCTCCATAGAGGTGCTGTCACCCCCTCATTTGATTTAGTTGGTTCTTTTTTTCTCTTTTTTGGTGGTTCTTTCATCAGTAGCTTTGTCTTTATTTGCCTGGACTGAAACATTCTTTCTTTCTTTTACCCCCTGTTCATTGCAAACAGCCATGGGGCAAAAGTAGTCTGTCACAGCCCGGAGCCTGTGTGAGCAGTCCACTTCACAGGTACCTTTCTCCTGGTTTCTAGAACACTTGGAAGATAATGGAACTCAACCCATGACCTGAGCGTAGACCCCTAGCACTAAAGGCTCTGGGTTGACCCCTAAGTGGACAGTGTCCAACAAACCTGACAGACCACGCTTGCAGTGGCCCAGAGATGAAGCGTGTCATGCATGCAGAAATATTAGCAACCTACAGGCTCATGCTGATGACTTCCATCATCTTCTGTGATTCTAGACACTGCTCAGGTTAGGGAGCTGAGATAGACACTACTAAGGGAGGAGCTCATGCACGAGACCAAAAACGTGCTTGTTTTCTATATTTTTTTGGCTGTAAATATGGATGTGCTAGGCTGCTTGCTGCTGAGCCGTTCATTTTTCTTGTCTATTCAGCAAGCGTCTGCAATGAACAATCTTGACAACAGTTTCTCTTTTTCTCTCTCTGGTGTGTCACATCTGCTCTTTCACCGACTAATCAATCATCTTCTCCCTCCTCCAATCTGCCATCCGTGCAGTTTGATGACATTCTAGAGAAACATGACTGTGCATCACACAGACTCAATGTCAGGACTCTCTACAAAATCTGGTTTACCATGATATGTCAGCATTAAAGATGGTTATTCACAAATTTTTTTGTAGTGGATCATAGTGATGTTCCAAGATTTTTTTTAAATTATAAAATAATTAAGCTAAATAATATTTATTATTTATATAAGATAATTGTTAAGATTAATATATATATATATATAGATATATATATATATAGATATATATAGATATGATAATTGTTTATTTTAAAACTATTGTCCTATAAATATAAGTAATGTCAATATATCCCCTTTAAAGATGCATATTCACAATATAATTACCACTATAATACAAATATTTTTATCATAGAATGTTTAAAAAAAAATTATATAAATGTTTTTTATTAAACGTAGTTATTCACAAATAGTTGTTTTGTAGTGGGTCATGGTGAAATTACAAGAAGTTTATTTATTATAAAATAATTGTTTAATAATAATATTTTTTTAAATATAAGATTTTTTTTTTTTAATTTTTTTTTTAATTGTTTATAATTAAGATTGTTTATTATAAGTCTGTTGTCCCATTAATATTAGATGTAATCCTACTATGTCCCCTTTAAAGATGCATATTCCCAATAGAATTAAACATTGTTATTATAAAATGTTTTTTTTATTATAGGTTGATTAATTAATTTGCTATATTTTAGTATATGACATGAGGGTGAGTAAATGATGTCAGAATTTTCATTATGAGGTGAACTATCCCTTTAAGATTTTTATTACAAAATAATTGTTAAAATAATTATTTTAAGATCACTGCAGAATAATTATTTATATAACATGGATAAATATTCAACTCAGTACTTGTTAAGATTAATATATATATATATATATATATATATAGATAGATAGATATATATAGATATGATAATTGTTTATTTTAAAACTATTGTCCTATAAATATAAGTAATGTCAATATATCCCCTTTAAAGATGCATATTCACAATATAATTACCACTATAATACAAATATTTTTATCATAGAATGTTTAAAAAAAAATTATATAAATGTTTTTTATTAAAAAAAAAAAAGAGAATGATGCAAAAAGAGAGATGCACAGAATGATGGAGGGCGAAATAATATTGTTTTATATTTTGGAGACTTTTGAAGATCTATACAGTATTAAACTGCAGTAAACATGAGTAACTAATGACTGTACGTGTCACTTTCTACTGATTATTGATTCAAGGAAGCCAGATTAAATCATTAGGATGTCGTCATTTGTATCTGAAGCAGTGTAGTGAAGTAGACTTATTATTCCAGTCAGTTTGTCTGGTGTAACCAAGGTGTAAGTATCTTTCTTAAGAGCACAATTGTGATCGCTCATGAACTGCATCTTGTTGGGTTCGAACATACAGCATTTTAGTTTTTCCAGCATATTTTTAACCATTAGGCAACAGCGCACCCCCAGTGCCAAAACTCTTTTGCCTTAAACTGAAAACTGTTAAGCTGCACTTTTTCCTGTTAGCATGCTCTCTGTTTAACAGCGCTTTAACAAAAAAGGCATATTTATGAAAAACAAAAACTCTCTTAAAATGGCCCTTTTGCTTTTAAATGCTACTGAAGACTTTAAACTAACGCCATCTGTGTCAAGCTTGGGCAGCTAATGTGTTCCCAAATCTCATATAACAGTGTTAGACAGAGATGAATATGTACAAGAAATATGCATAGAGAAATCATTCCATCCAATAAATATGAAAGCCTATTTACACTCTTAAAAATAAAGGTTCCAAAATGGGATTCCCATAGCAATGCAATAGAAGAACCATTTTTGGTTCCACAAAGAACCTTTTTCCACAATAAAGAAGAACCTTTCTTCATGGAACCATCAATGCCCAGTATCCAGTGAACCTTTCATTTTAAAAGTGTAGAGAGAAACTCTAGAAGTCTTTTGTGAATCTACAAAACCCATTTCCTTAGCTACAGCTTAGAAATAGCTAGATAACCCGTGTAATTTCTCTCATTCACCTAGTTGCGCATCTGAATGTTTCCACCTCTTTATGCCGTCTCATGTGTAGCAGGTCTCGCAACGCCGCTGGATCCGGTTCCTCCCATTCTGACGAGGAAGAACCTCCATCCTGGTGTAAAACCTTCCTGAAGCGTGTCCTCTGGGCCGCACTGCCGCTGCAGATCATCCTGCTGCTGGTGGTGGTGGTGGCCTGTCTTGTGCCTACGTCTGAGGACGACTACAGCTGTGCCCAACTCAACAACTTCGCCCGCTCCTTCCACCCAATGCTCAGCTACACCAACGGGCCTCCACCTATATGAGCTCCACTTTGAAGTCAAAACGGCAGCTCAGCATCGGGTTTCCCTCTAAATTTGGCAGCCATTATTGTGTCCTTGTACAGCAAATAGAGCTGCTAATTCTACAGTATGTCACTGAGTCTCGTGTAGATGTTAGAACGAAGCCTGTTGCACTGAAAACTGCTGTCAGACAAGTGTTGTTAGTGCTACTGATGTTCTTCCATGTTTGATAGGAAGGAGGAAACTAGAGCGTAGGATATTAACTCAACACTGAGAGTTAATCAGGTCTAAAGGCCTTTTTTAAGCATGGAAAGATCAAGTTTATTGGGAAAAAAACTGAAAGGTGTTGGATTGCTTGTATCAAATGAATAACTTGTAAAACAGAGAAGATAAAACAATTTATGAACTCTATATTGCAATTATTTTTTATATGTATTTTTGGCATGTGGTCATCCTTTAAAACGATCATTGATTTTATTGGATTTGTCATTGTTTATTTTTAATTTTTGATCTTATCTAACCTGCTGTAATATTCAAGTTAACTGTCATGAATATACTTTACTGTATGTAAACCACTGATATCAAAGAAAAGGATATTTATGTATGTAGTTTGCTGAGGCCTAAAAAACCTTTGCAATGAAAATACACCTATGATATACACATAACCTGCTGATTAGTATTTTTCATTACAATTAAAGACTAAATGACCATAATTGGTTTAATTGTGAATCATAATTATTTTCTTACCAGTTTTTTTGACGCAATCACTGCTTAAACACTGAAATGATTTGCTGGTAATATTTACAGGGTTGTATTACAGGGAACCTTCTCAGAACTTGGCTAGGTTCTCTCTCAGTTATGAATGAACATTCTTCCAGTAACGAAAGAATGTTCATTTAAAATTATCTGGTCTTTAATAACATTCTGAAAATGTTTTTATGAATTGTATTTCTACAGAGAACATTCAGAAGTAACTTCCCATGTTTGAAAAATGATAAAGTGGAACGTTCTTAATGTTTTCACTAACGGTCAAATTTAACTGTATGTTTTGAATGTTCTTAGAAAATTCAGAAACAACATTTCTATAACTTAATGGCAACATTAGGAAAACATCCTTAGAACATGTTTTTGTTAGCTGGGTAATAATTCCATTAACCCAGTTTAAACTGGGAGGAGTCTCATTCATCACAACAAACATGGTAAATATCTACTAATAGTTAATGAAATACTTGCAATTTTTAAATTTGTTGCATGCATTTTTTAATTTGTTTATTTTACATGGTTACTTTTTAATTACTATCAATAGTAGGAGGTGCTTTTTGTTCCCAGAATGATGCATCTACAAAATCTTAGTTACAGAAAGCAGCTAAATCCTGGTTTACACAGGAAATACTTTTTGCTGTTTGACCAATGATATGGTGCTGGTTAAGCTAGTTAAGAAGCCTGGTGGGGAAACCAGCATCCAAACCACAAAATATTTAGGCTGTTCAACTGGGAATGGGTTGAACGTTAAAACAACTGTATATTTTTGACGTTTTAAGGGAGTGCGCAGGAAGGAAACAAGGCCATTCGCCTTATCAGAAGTCAGTGTACGATCAGAATGATTTTTAAACTTGTATTTCAAGGTTAACAAAAACAAAACAAAACCTTAGTCACTTCAAACTATCATTCGATGCTATTATATTATTATCTCCGTGGGCCGCTGGGCTGTCAGAGGTTGTGCTGGAGGGAGCTGGCAGGGCCTGGGCTTTAAACTCATGAGAATGAGCGACGTTTATGGAGGAAACTGGAGTTTCCCAGATCTGAGGCGTGTGATGCTGGTGGAGATGAGCAGGACAGTGACAGTGACGTGACTGGAGCAGAACCTCCAGCCTTCTGAGAACTTCATAGTTTGGGACGCAGCCTGTGCAGTCAACACCTAACATCTGAGACACCACCGTGTAGAAGTCCAGCAACTGCAATGTAGGAGCATACTGGTTACTATTAATAAAGGTAATCCATTTCCTGTTTATATATATATATATATATATATATATATATATATATGCAAATCGGCATATTAGAATGATTTCTGAAGGATCATGTGACACTGAAGACTAGAGTGATGATGCTGAAAATTCAGCTTTGTATCACAGAAATAAATTCTATTTTAAAATATATTAACATGGAAAACAGTTATCTTAAATTGTAATAATATTTCACAGTATTACTGTATTTGTTGTATTTTTTGATCAAATAAATGTAGCCTTGGTGAGCAGAAGAGACTTCTTTCAAAAACATAAAAAAATCTAATGGACTCCAAACTTTTGAAAGGTAGTGTATGTGCAGATATGTAGTCTTACGTCACTTCTGTACCTGTTTCTCAGTGTGAGTGAGATCTGCTATGGCGCTAGACTGAGTGTCCAGCAGTCTCTGGGCTTGTTGAATCTCATCTCTGGCTCTGAGTTCCTGGTTTTTCAGCTCTGACTTGATGACGGTTAGTTTCTTCTCAGTCCTTACCTTGTTCTCCTCAAGCTTTCCCAGATTCTTACTCTGCTCTTCTATGGTTTGGTTTTGTTCCATCACTTTGATCTTGTTGCACCAAAGACAGCAGAAACTAAGCATTTACAAGCATCGCCACACTCTACATGTGAAGCAGCACTATTAAAGAAGGCATGAAATAAAAATTCACCCTATTTTCTAAATGCATGTTATTGATCTTATTGTGAACAAGTCATTTGTGCATGTTTCATCTTTGATTTGTTTTGACCTTGTAATTCTTAATCAAAATGTCAAACTCAATCTTTTATTGCGACATTAAACATAAAGGGTCGATATTAGGACCATTTATGTTCATGCATTTGGCAGGTGCTTTAATCCAAAGCAACTTGCATTGTATTCACTATATTTGACCAGTATGGATGTTCCCTGGGACTCCAGTTCATGACCTTATTGTTGCTAATTGGATGCTCTACAAGCTACACAAATCATCTATATGCCTTAAAGGATCCAGAAACCAAAACACTGATCTAAAGAATCTATTTTATTATCCATAGAACCTTATTGTCAACTCAAGAACCATATACAGTAAAAATGGTATATATTTACAGAGTCACATTTGTGTTTTTAAATTTAAAAATGGTCTTTGTTTTGGTATTTTATGCTGAAATGACTCTGTTTGGTGAGGGTCTGTGGGCCAGGCCTCGTCCCTGTACCTTGAGCTCATTGGTGTGGGACAGCTGGGCTTTCAGCTCGGTGTTGGAGAAGCGTAAGGTGCTCAGCTCCGCCTGCAGTCGATCCACGCGCTTCTGGAGCTTCTTACAGGCCAGAGCAGCATCATCTTTCTCCACCGCCAGAGCCGAGCGGCTCCTCTTTTCCTCCTCCAGCTGGACCATCTTCCTCCTCAGCAGCTCCAGGTGAAGCTCTTTACTTTCTGAACGCTCCTTATGTTCTTTAAGCTGCAGCCATTGATGGAAATGATAACCAGCTAATCAAATAATGTAATGTAATCGTGGTTTGATGGCTAGGATTGTTGTATGGTTTATATTTAAGATTTTCATTTTGATTTTATATTGATTTTTTGTTGTTGTTGTATTTTTACACTGGTTTTACATTGAATACATTTCAAATAAATGAGAAGTATAATAAATAAATTAAAAGTATAAGAAAATATAAATATCTAATACATTTGAAGTATTTTTGTTTTGATTAATTGTTTAGTTGTTTAAAATTAAATTTCATTTGTTTGTTTAGTTAGTTTTAAATTACGTTTTTAAATAAATTATTAACATTACAAAACTAGATTTAAAAACTGCACTTTTTCATTTTTATTTTGCCATTTTTGAAAAACATTTTTAAAATAAATCCTGGAAATATGTATTAAAAATCTGACAGAATTGGCCGTTAATTTGTAAATCTGTAACAATTATTTTACATTTCTGCACAATTTTAAAAACATTTTTAAGATAAATTCTGGAAATTTTGTTTTAAATCTGACTAAATTGGCCATTAATTTGTAAATCTGTAACAATTATTTTACATTTCTGCACTATTTTTATTTGTACTATTTTCTGTAAATTTGCATTAAAATATTTTGTCAGTAAAATTCAAGAAATTTGTAAAATCTGTAATATGAATAAAAATAATAAATCTGAAATTTGTAAAAAGAAATGTGTAAAATCTGACTAAATTGTGCATTAATTTGTAAATCTGTAACAATTAGTTTGAATTTCTGAACTTCTTTTATTTTACAATTTTTAACGTTTTTAATAAAACATTAAAATATTTTAATATATAAAATCTGACAAAAGTGGGCATTCGTTTGTAAAACTGTAATAATTATTTTTCACTTCTGCACTATTTGACTATTTTTGAAACATTTTTTAAGATAAATTATGATAAAATTGGGCATTCATTTGTAAATCTGTAACAATTATTGTACATTTGGAAAGGTTATGCACCAAAACATTGAACTAAATAATAGTTAAAGTTAATTATTTGACATGTCAGCACCTTTCTCTGAAGGCTGTAGATTTGTGTCTTGATCTCCAGTAAAGCCGTCCCTTCCTGTCTGCTCAGCTGTTCAGCTCGTGTAAGAATGGCCTCGAGTCTCATATCAAATCCCAGATCTGCAGCAACACGATCCACTTTCAGCTTCTCTGAGAGCTGCTCCACAAACCGCAGGTACTACAGAGAGAGAAGGCCAATGACATTACTGAGGGGTCATTTTAGGACATTTATGATACATTTTAATTATGTTCTAATTCCATATGATACACAGTGGCCAGAAAAGTTCGACAATGTGAATATTTTTATACAGTTACAGGTTTTGGCAGTATAAATCCACTTCCTCACATGCCGTTTGTCCTGGTTCATTCCATCTTTCCAGACTCCAGCCGTCAGCAGCTCGTCCTCCAGACTCTTGATTCTGTCCAGCAGCTCCTGTTCTCTCCGTTCTGAACTGCTCTGATGCTCTTTGTGGCTGGACAACTGCTCTTCCACCTCCGCCAGCCTGCCCTCCATCTCCATCTGAGACTAGAGCACACAGAAAGCACATTAGTTGAAAAGTAAGAACGTAATCTACGCTATAAAAATATGAGATGCAAACGTTACCTTTTGTGCACTTTTCTCTCTGCTGCAAAGGGCCGTAAGTGCCTTCAATATGTCACTTTCTGTGTGTTGAACGGGAAGAGACTGATCATCCAGCAGAGCTTCCACATTCTTCATGAAGGCCTCATGGTGGCTGTGAGACGCCAGAGCTTCATTCTGGCAGCTGTGGAGTTTATTTTGCAGATCCTGAGAGAGATTCTCATAGTGGCGGCAGCGCTGCTGTGCGGACACCAGCGCCAGTTCAGACTCCTGCAGGGAGGTTTTAAGGCTCTGGTTCTCCCTCTCCAAACTTA